TGTAACACCCTAATCCGTTCAGGTCTGCAGCCCCTTTTGGACTAAAGTATTAACTTGGCAACGTAAAAATTTCAAACATTTAAAAACTTTATTTCAAATATTGTACTAAATATTTCATAATACATCAGAGTAAAATTATTCAAAATAGTACAGAAGCGATTTGCAAATTACAACAGTGTGGTCACCATGTGATAAAATCATTTAGTTAAATAATAAATTTGTGCACGTCCACGCATCACCTCCATCTCAGTAATCTCCAAAATAGGTTCCATATTTATTCTCTCTCATACCTATGTGTAGAAAGATGAAAAAGTCTACACGCTCAGCAATGAAGCTGAGTGGTACCATGGCACAACAAAAGAATTCACAGAATAATTTCTTAAACAATACTCATCACATATATATGTTCAAATATTCGCTTTTTCATATTTAAATCCATATTTGTTGTTTTAACAATGATAATGAATATAGTCAATCTTAACTATCATCACTTAATCAGTCCATAATTCACAATAACCACATGTCACTTTTTTTTAATCACAATATTCATCATTTATTACACATAATTTTCATATCAAATTTTATCACAATTTGCTCCTAACTTATTCTAAGTTAAGGCTAAATTATATCAATGCTCTTAAACTTTAAGTCTAAGTCAAATTAATTTTGATAACATAGCTCTTAAACTATGACTAGTCTAAGGCAATATTTCTAACCAGGCCCTTAAACTATAAATAGTTTAATGCAGAACACAAGAATCAATAATCCACCCTATGAGTCACGTGGATTACGTACCAACCGAACATTGATCTGTCGGGTGGGTGATATCCGGTCTGGATCCCGTACGTACGTTTTAACCCCAAATCATGAATTGGTCAAGGAGGTATATCTTAGAGTTCTTCTAGATATCCTTAATAATCATCATCAATTTCCAAGTGGGTATATCTTAGAGTTCTTCTAGATATCCTTAACTATACACATCATTTTCTTAATCATCAATATATTCATTTTTTTAATCATTCATAATTATTATTTTAATAAGAATATTCATTAAAGTCTGATAATAAACAACATCAATAATAATCATCACAATATCCAATAACAAATAGCGGCCTAACATCGAGTGTTAACACATAGCTTATCGCCATACATGATATAAGGTTCTTTAGTTGTCCAAACATCATTTTTTTTAAAGAAATTGTCTTTTCATTGATGTATCAAAAGATAGGATTTTATATATTCAAAAATAGCATTTTCGGATTTAAAATATTTATAACGATCATTTGTAGGAAAAACGGAGTTACTATTCATCATCTTCAACCTTTTCTCCAATTTCTCAAAACACCATAAAAGCTTCTAAGCTTTAAACTAACTTCATAAAAATGTTTTCCAACATCCATAGATCACTCACAAACAATTTATTTGAAGCTTTAACAACAAAACAACTTTGGTCATTATGAATGTCAAAATATTTATATTTTCAAATATATATATATATGAATCAATAAGTTCAANAACGGAGTTACTATTCATCATCTTCAACCTTTTCTCCAATTTCTCAAAACACCATAAAAGCTTCTAAGCTTTAAACTAACTTCATAAAAATGTTTTCCAACATCCATAGATCACTCACAAACAATTTATTTGAAGCTTTAACAACAAAACAACTTTGGTCATTATGAATGTCAAAATATTTATATTTTCAAATATATATATATATGAATCAATAAGTTCAAGGATCATTCTAATGCCTTCTAAAGTTGTTTAAAATCATGGTACAGACCTGGAAATCGACGATATGAAGCTCAATGAACGAACGCGAGCTAAAACAACGTTGGAAATCATAAAACTCGCTGCTTCCCGTCACCACTGTACCAGCCCCGGTTTTCGGGCGATATCTCTTTCGTTACTCAACGAAATCGCGAACTGTTTGAAGCTATGCTTTCGTAAGACATAAGGCTACAACTTTCGTTTAGAACCCAGATTAAAACAATGACGTTTAGAGGGTGTAAAAGTGCTCACAAGTGGGCTGATTTGCACTGGAAATGTTTTCTTCATTCAACTTCCCGGAGCAACTTCCGGCAAGAACCGTGGCTACCTCAGGTGACTTTAACAGCGGCGATCACTTGCGGATTGTTCTCCTACAACAAGGAGTAGAATAGAAAAAAAATGGGAGAGAATGATGGAGATTTGAAGAAGATGCAACCTCCTTAAATAGGCCAAGAATGAAGAAAGAGTTGTATGGTTTTGGTGCCTAATTATCCAATCCATGCTTCGTAGTGGACTAGGCGGCTGATATTTGGAGATTTCACACGTCTGTCCCTGATTGCGACTAAAATGTTCCCAATCAGGGTACATTTTTTAGTCCAACTTTATCTGAATTGAAATTTGATTGTACCATTACGTTCAGACAGTCAAGCTCTACGCAACAATATAATTTTCACATTTTTTTGGAATACTTTTTATGACACTATATTTTTGGCTGTTGACTTTGACAAAGTCAAAATTGAATTAATTGACATACAATTAAAAGTGCTCTCATATTCAATCAATATTATTCAATTTAAATAATTTATTTCAATATATCATTTTACAAAAGTTTATATCCTTGACAACTACTCATTTTTTTATGCAAATTACATATTTAAAATGTCACAACTCAAAATCCGTAAATTAGATTTGTTCATAAAATATATCGTTGGTTTCGTCTCTTCGAGACCTATTCATAAAAAGTCAATCTTAACAAAAAAAATCATTGACTTCAAAAATTCCTTTATTTTTGGTCAAACATAGAAATAATGTTTTGTTGGGTCAAAATATTATTTCTAAACTACTTTTATTATAGAATAACTTTTGGACCATGTTTTGGGGCGTTACACAACTACAAGAACTGCTCGATAAAGGATTCATTCGACCGAGTGTTTCCCCTTGGGGAGCACCCATTCTGTTTGTCAAAAAGAAGGATGACTCGATGAGACTCTACATCGATTACCGCCAATTAAACAAAGTCACAATAAAAAATCGATATCCTTTACCTCATATCGATGAGTTATTTGATCAGCTTAGAGGATCTAGTGTATTCTCTAAGATTGACTTACAGTCAGGATACCATCAAATCCCTGTCAAGAAAGAGGACATCCCAAAGACTGCATTCTATACTCGTTATGGTCATTACGAGTTCACGGTAATGCCCATTGGTTTGACCAATGCTCCCGCAGTATTCATGGATCTCATGAATAGTGTATTCCGACCCTATCTTGATCAATTCGTAGTTGTGTTCATCGACGACATTCTTGTATATTCGAAGAATCGAGAAGACCCTGCAAAGCACCTAGAGATAGTACTCATTGTACTACGAGAACACAAACTTTATGCAAAGTTATCCAAGTGTGAATTTTGGCTTGACGATGTCACATTCCTTGGTCATGTGCTTTCAAAAGAAGGTGTTAAAGTGGACCCCAGCAAAATATCTGCCATCACTGAATGGAAGGTTCCGAGGAATATTCGTGAAGTGAGAAGTTTTCTTAGATTAGATGGATATTATCGATGATTCGTTGAAGACTTTTCCTCGATCGCAACTCCACTTAACAAACTTCTAAGAAAAGATGTGAAATTTGTATGGACCGATGCATGTCAGCAAAGCTTTGAGAAACTAAAGAAATGTCTGATAGAAGCACCTGTTCTGACACAACCCGTACTAGGTGTAGACTACACAATCTTTAGTGACGCATCTCATAATGGCTTGGGATGTGTACTCATGCAAGACGGCAAGGTTGTGGCATACACATCAAGGTAGTTGAAGCCTAACGAATGTAACTATCCAACTCATGATCTTGAGTTAGCAGCAGTTGTATTTGCTCTGAAGATATGGCGTCATTATCTCTTTGGAGAGACGACATATATTCACACAGACCACAAAAGTCTGAAATACCTGCTAACTCAAAAAGAATTGAACCTGAGATAGAGAAGATGGTTAGAATTGATCAAAGACTACGACTGCTACATCGACTATCACCCTGGTAAGGTTAACGTAGTTGCTGACGCATTGAGCCGAAACATGATAGCCGAACTCCGAGTCCAACCTACTCTTGAGAACGAAATTCACGCAACACAAAAACGTGATGATTACGGTTTGAATACTTGGGAACTTGTCTCTAAGGAAGAGAGACAAGATTTCACTGTGAATGATGGAATTTTATTCTACAGGAATCGTTTGATATTACCTAGTGCCGAAGTGAGGGAATGTTTAATGCGTGAATCTCACGAAACCGCATATACCATGCATCTTGGTAGTAATAAAATGTTCCAAGATATAAAGAAGACATACTGGTGGCCTACAATGAAGTGAGAAATTTCTGAATTTACAACACGATGTCTGACGTGTCAACAAGTCAAGGCTGAACATCAAGTGCCAAGTGGATTGTTACATCCACCTACCATTCCTAAATGGAAATGGGAACGAATCACGATCGACTTCATGATCAGACTTCCATTATCAGCCAAGAAGAATGATGTTGTCTGGGTAATCATTGACCGATTAACCAAGTCATCTCATTTTATCCCAATTCGGCGTGATATGTCACTAAAGAAATTGGCAGAGTTGTACATCCGTGAAATCGTAAGATTACATGGTGTACCTTTGTCTATCATTTCTGATCGTTACCCGCGATTCACGTCGCAATTCTGGAAGAGTTTGCAAAAGGCTTTAGGTACTAAACTCAACTTTAGTACAACATTTCATCCTCTCACGGACGGACAGTCGGAAAGAACAATCCAAATCCTAGAAGACATGATGAGGGTATGTGATCGATTTTGGAAACAACTGGGAACAATACTTACCATTAATGGAATTCGCTTATAACAACAATTATCAAGCGAGTATCCAAATGGCCCCGTATGAAGCTCTATATGGAAGACGTTGTAGAACCCTAGTATGCTGGACCAAACTGAGCGAACAAAAGCTTGAAGGACCTGATCTTGTTCGAGAAACAGAAGAAAAGGTTCGTCTGATCAGAGAAAGACTACAAGTAGCTTCTGACCGACAGAAATCTTATGCTAACTTGAAACGTTGGGAAATTGAATACAATGTTGATGACAAGGTGTTTCTGAAAGTTTCACCATGGAAGAAAGTGTTACGGTTCGGTAAAACTAAGTCCGAGATATATTGGACCCTATCGAATCACTAAACGTGTGGGTCCAGTATCCTATCGGTTAGAACTTCCACCATAACTGAACAAGATCCATGACGTATTCCATGCATCGATGTTGAAAAGATACTGTTCCGATCCATCGCATATCTTGACTGAGGGAATCGTAACTCTTGACGAACAATTGACTTATGAAGAGGAACCTGTACAAATTTTGGCACGAGAGGTCAAACAATTAAGAAACAAATTCGTACCTCTAGTCAAAGTATTATGGAAGAATCACTCAATTGAGGAGGCAACATGAGAAACCGAAGAGTCAATGAGAAGACAGTACCCGAACCTCTTCAATCAATGACGCAGGTAATTTCGAGGACGAAATTATTTTAAGGGGGAGAGAAATGTAACGCCTCGAAAATAGGCCTATCAGAATTAATTAATTTATGATTAATTAATTACTAAGAAGGATCCAAAAATAAGTGAATAATAAAGTTTGTCAATGATTAATGAAAATTATATCGTTGTGTAGAGTTTGACTGTCTGACCCCAACGGTTCAATCGGATTTCGATTTGGAAAACGTTGGACCAAAAAGTATACCTCGACTAGGACTGAAATTAGTCCCAATCAGGGACTTGCATTTAAAACGCGTAGAAGATTGTCGTTTGCTCCACTCAGCCGCTGGAACAGAGAACAAGGACATCACCCATGGCTTCTTCTACTAACCCTCTATTATAAAACCCCCCCAATTGTCCACCATTCTTCACCATTCTTATCCCAATAGAAAGAGCTGAGTGTGAGGAGCATTGTAGTACTACCAATTTAGTGTGAAGTCGCCGGAGCAAGCCGTGGTGTTCGCCGGAAGTTTCGCCGTCTTTTCGCCAGAATCATCGTTTAGCATTAAGGTAAGCCCGTAGATATATCTAATGACTAGATTGTTCATATAGATCGTTTCTACGTTCATAAATGGTCATTTGGTTGAGTTTTGTGTTTAACATGTTTGAAGAACCAAGAATCATAAAGCTTGAAATTGTTGTTAAAACTTCAAATTAATAGTATTTATATGATATATGAACATTGGGGAACATTTCTATATGGTTTAATTTAAGATTGGTGACTTAAAATGATGTTTCAAAAATTCACCACGGTCGACCATTCTAAGACCAATAGCTCCAGTGCTACGGTAGCAACGACGGTCGGCCGTTGCCTGCAAACGGTCGACCGTTCCGAACACAATCAAATACGAAAAATGCTATTTTTGAGCTTTAAAATCCTAATTTTGATACCAATTAATTATGAACAATATAAACATGATTTTGCACAATAAAAATTATGTTTTTGACATATAAAACATTATGTGATGCATGACGGTAAGTTTGGGTGTTAACACTTGAAGCTAGACCGCTAGTTGCCATTGTTTGAATGTTATGTTAATTGATGATTATGATGCATAATTATTATGGATTAATGATGATGATTATTCTGAATAAAATGATGATTGTAAAGTAATGAACTAGAATCAAAATAAATGTGTTAATAAGAAATGAGTTGTATTGTTAAGGCTATCTAGAAGACCTCTGAGATAGACCTCCGATTAGAATGGGCCTTGCGGGTATAAATATGTATATTCGGTGGCCTTGGGTAAAAACGTGCATACGGGATCAATAAACCAAACTAGAGGCACTCGTTTGGGTATACCACCCAACCCGATAGTTAGTATTCTACTGATCGGTTTTCTGGATTTGTACCTTAAGTGAAGGCTAGTTTAAGAGTTGGTAAATCAAGCAGAATATATGTACCTTAATCTAATGACCTAGCTTAAGAGTTGGATAGAAGTACCTTGAACTAGAATTAGTTTAAGAGTTGGTAAACATAAAAAAGATTGGCCTTAGACTAAGCATAGTTTAAAGATACTGATAAATATTGACTATTGAATATAAATATTGAATGTTGAAATATTGAAATAAAAATACTGAGAATATCATGAATGAACCATATATTATGTGCATGATATCAAATGGTTGTTTGTGAATTGAGATTCAATTTATGTGCATGTTCGATGCTTTAGATATGCTTACTCAGCTTCACCGCTGAGCGTGTAGTATGTTTTATTTGCTACACGCAGGTAAACAAAATGAATGAAATGATGATTCCTGGAGGCAGACGGGAGCGAGATGGTCAGGGTAGATATGTGAAATGAATTGATGTTTTAAAAGACATAAAATTATTATATTTTGTAATTGTTATATATTCAGCTTCCGCAACATTAAACTACTCCGTTATTATCTTGGATATTTTATTATTGAATAAAGTTTTAAAATGTTTTAAATATTCTGAATGTTTACGAATACCAAGTTTATGCTTTAGTCTGAAAGGGGATGCAGACCTGGACAGATTAGGGTGTTACACACGCTTCGAGAGCACTTTCCTCAATTTCACCTTGAGGAAAAGGTGCCTCTTGAACCGGGGGAGAGTGTTACGACCGAGGCTCGTGAGGACATCGAGGAAAGGGTTGATCATGCATGCATGGGGGAGGTGCGGCGTAGTACGAGAGTGAGGAGACCGCCGCATTGGCAGAAGGATTATGCAATTTGAGAATTATTATTTATTATTATTATTATTAATGTAATGTAGATTTTATTAGGTGAACATCTGCACTCCTTCGAGGGTTTCTTTTTGGTTCTTTACCTCGATGGTTTTCTTGAACCAACAGGGTAAATATTGTAGAAAACTAGGGTTGGGGAACTTATTTAAAGGGAAGTTGTATCATTGGTTGGATACGAAGAATAACAACAATCTCTTCTCCCCATAATTATTCTTTTCTAAAACCCCCATCTCTTTAGCTTCCTGCCATTTTTCTATCTCTTCCCTATCCTTTCCTTCTTTCTCCCTCGCCTGTCTCTCTTCCTATACACGAAGGAGCATTCTTCTTCCTTCTCTAGTTGGTACGTGTGTATCATACGAATATATATATATTTGCACATATGGGTGGGGTTGGGAACTCCAATTAGGAATAGGAATACTCCGTGAGCACTTTCACTATTTTTATATTATTATTATATAATATTTTATATTTTTATTTATTTATTTAACTGTAATGCAATGTCTAGTTTGTTCATAACTTTTTGCACAAAATTCCAAATTCAACAAACTATATGCCGTTGGTCATCTTTTCACGAGACCTACCTAAAAATTCAAAATTTGTTATATAATATTATCTCTAAATCATATACTTGTATTTTATTCGTTTACTTTGTAATCTTTTCAGCCTTAGGACAGTCAAATCCCTAACTTTCGTAACTCAGATTCGCATGCGGAATACACTATTGAACTCGTCTCGTTTTTCGTACCTTCAATTTGAGTATAAATTTTCCCATAAAAGTTAACTTTGAAAATCATTTATTTTTATCATTTAGATTTCTCTTTTTTATTTAATTTAAACAAAAGTTAGAATTATGTTTTATTAAAATTCGTTATTAAATTTTAGGATATAATTCAGGGCATCACAACGTCGATGTTTTACCTTTGGAATTCAAAAAACCCCTCAACGCTAAGATTGAAACATCGATATATGTTCTATGTTGAACATCGCTGCTCATGATTGAATTGCCAAAGTTGAGGTTTCCCAGGCCTGGCGAGAACAGCGCTGTAGTGATGGCTACATCGATGTTTGGTCTAGAAGCAAAAAACCAAGTTGGCAGCCTATGCCAAAATCGATGTCAAAAACTAAATTTTCCTATGTTAAAAACCAAATGTTGGAACCACTTATTTGTTGTATCTTAAGTGAAAACTAAGTATTAAAACTTAAAAATCACGTCTTTAAGGTGAAAGTTACGGATCACCAAGTGAAAGACGCTTTAAATTGTTTTCGACCAAAGACCAAAAATCAAAAGTGCTTTTTAGAAATTAATTGTTTGAGAATTTTTTTTAAATATTTCCAGAAGTAAAAACCAATGATTAAAGAGTGAAAACTACTTGGTTGATTTGGACGCCGAAAATCAACGCCGAAAGCCGGGCACCGAGTGCTGAACATCGAATACCAAATGCTGAATGTTGTGATTTTGTTTGGGCAAACACCTGGTGTTTTGGAAACATAAAACACTTATGAAAAAACTGTTGTTTGATACATAAAAATGGTTTCATAATCCTGTGAAAGTTTAACTTCTGAGAACCAAGACTCATTGCAGATTGTTGGTTTTGATCACAATACAACTGACTCAACCAAATTAAGTCTTCAACACTTGATCTTGTTCTTGATTCCCTTATGCGTTGTGTCATCCCTTGTTCTAACGCCTTAGGTTATTCAGTGAAACACTCCATATTCATGGCGGTTTGACATTCATCAAAAACTTATAAAAAATGAACACAAGTTTAGTACAACATCACCGTAAAGTGTGTTCCAACAAAAGGGAGAAGGAGCCCAATAGGAGTAAAACAATGACAAAAGCCCAAAATAGGAGTGAGAAGATTAAATCCCCCAAATAGGAGTCGCCGTTAGCCTGTCTCCGTTACCAGTAGCCGTCAAAGCCAATCGAATTACCCCGTTAGCCATCATTGGTTCTTCGATCAGAGCGCCAAATAGAAAAACCAGATAAATTCACAATTCCTCTGCTTCACAATTCAATTGCTTCCCAATTCACCTACTTCGCATTGTATCTTAATCGGAGAAGATGACGGACGAAGAGGACACTCGATCGGATGAAATTGCTGATGAAGATAAGCGACCTGCGACAAAGCAAATGGCGAAGCGACCGAAGGTACTGAATTTTAGTTTCTGACCTGCGACAATTGCATTGTGACCTAGTTTTGTTGTTCAATTGAGTTTTTCAAGTACATGCATGGTCTTGTTGTGACGGATTGCATTGCGACCTAGTTTTGTTTTTCAATTGCGTTTTTCAAGTTTGTGCATGGTGATGTCGTGAGGGATTACATTGTGACCTAGTTTCATTGTTCAATTGAGTTTTTACAGTAGACGCATGGTCTTGTTGTGATCGATTACATTGTGACCTAGTTTCGTTGTTCAATTGAGTTTTTTGAGTAGACGCATGGTCTTGTTGTGATCGATTACATTGTGACTTAGTTTCGTTGTTCAATTGAGTTTTTCCAGTAGACGCATAGTCTTGTTGTGATCGATTGCATTATGACCTAGTTTCGTTGTTCAATTGAGTTTTTCCAGTTTATGCATGGTCTTGTTGTGAGGGATTGCATTGTGATTAATTTTTGTTGTTCAATTGAGTTTTTCCAGTACATGCATGTTCTTGTTGTGAGGGATTGCACTGTGACCTAGTTTTGTTGTTCGATTGAGTTTTTCCAGTTTATGCAAGGTGAAGTTGTGAGAGATTGCATTGTGACTTATTTTCGTTGTTCAATTGCGTTTTTTCCAGTAGACCAATGGTCTTGTTGTGAGGGATTGCATTGTGACCTAGTTTTGTTGTTGAACTACGTTTTTCCAGTAGACCTATGGTCTTGTTATCAGTGATTGCATTGTGACTTATTTTTGTTTTAGACAACCTTTTAATATACAGGTATCACGTAAATTTGTGAAGAAAGGTGATACAGCACAGCCTAAAGATGGAGGAATTAACACTTATTGTAATGTGCTTGAGACCGTACGTAGAATTAAAGGCGTGTTGAGAAAGGAGGAGCTTGAAGTCTTTAGAGGCACGGTTTTTGGAAAACTGTTGGATGTTCCTGAAGTTAGATGGATTAGTAATGGGCTCTTAGTTGGTCTGTTAGAAAGGTACAAGTTACCAAAGCAAGGAATAACTGGANCCTTTTAATATACAGGTATCACGTAAATTTGTGAAGAAAGGTGATACAGCACAGCCTAAAGATGGAGGAATTAACACTTATTGTAATGTGCTTGAGACCGTACGTAGAATTAAAGGCGTGTTGAGAAAGGAGGAGCTTGAAGTCTTTAGAGGCACGGTTTTTGGAAAACTGTTGGATGTTCCTGAAGTTAGATGGATTAGTAATGGGCTCTTAGTTGGTCTGTTAGAAAGGTACAAGTTACCAAAGCAAGGAATAACTGGATGTAAAGAAATGAAGTTCAAAATAAAGGGGAGAAAAGTCTTGTTCACAAAGCCAGAGTTTGAACTTATTGCAGGACTGGGAAGCGGAGGGAATAGGATAACATTGAATGATGAAAGGTTGGGTGACTTCGGGTTAAGGTATTTCAATACGGGAAAATTTGTTCAGCGATGTCATATTACGGATGCACTGCTGCAACACAACAGAGATGACCCCGGAGTAGAAACTGATGATGTTGTAAAGCTAGCATTGCTGCATCTGTTGGGCAATGTTATGTTTGGGCACCAGTCATGTGTTAGTTTTCCTATTGGATACATTAACCTAGTAGATGATTTGGATGCATTCGATAAATTCCCATGGGGGTGAAGTCATATGGGAAGAGTTGTCAACACATGCTGGGAGATGTGCACAATCCCTTAAAGCTCGTGGAAGGGGAAGAGTGATGTTTGGAGGGTTTGTCTTTGCCTTACAGGTATGGGCATTTGAGAAATTTCCTTCCTTGAGAGAGTCAGGGCATTGTCAAATTGTAAAGGGAAAAGAAGATTGGATTCCACGTTGCCTAAGGTGGGAGGTTTATGCAAAGATTTCAGCACAGTTTCTTCATGAAGCCATATTTGAAAATCCAGAGGTTCGTATTCTATGAAATTCTCTTTTAATGAGAATATGTAGTAAATCTGGATTATATTAATATTTTTTTATTGTTTTACACAGTTTGAAGTGTCAAAGATTGTTCCAAGTGAGAGGGAGTTAAATGATCCTTCATTGGCATTATTTGCTAGTGAATACATAAGAAGGGGTATAGATGACACTGTGCAACATATTGAGAGCTCAGAAAAGGCTGCAACTGTACCAAGAAATCTAAGTGTTGGTAGTGCTAAGAAAAGGAAACTTTCAACAACTGGAAATGCCCAAAACAAGCCAAAAGAGAAGAGAAAGAGAATTATTCACAGCATGAAAGGGGAATTTCTTCCAAAAAGAAAATCAAAGAGGAAGAAAGAGAGTCAGAGTTAGATTTTAACAATTCTCAATGACATGAAAAAAATGCAGGAAAGCCAAGGGAAAGTGCTGAAGATGATCCTTGAGCAATTAGAAAGACAAAAGGGAGATGATACAGAGGAGAGGGGTTTTAAAAAGATAGATGATGAAATTGTCAATGAGAATGTTGAGAGTGAAGACATGGAAAATAAAAACATGGGGAAGGATACTATTTTGGAAGAAGATGGCACTGACCATGGAGATGTGGGAAAGGATGGCACTTCCAGACATGATGACAATGATCTTGGTCATGTTGACACCATAGTCATTAATGAGGGAGATGATAAAATCAAAGAAGGTATGAGAGATGAAAGAAGCATTGAGACTTTGCCTAAGTTGTCTGAAACACAGTTCAGTGATCAGTTCTTTGAACAAATGGACAAAGAAGTGAATGCTATTTTGAAAGGCACAATTGAAGGAAATGTAAGACCATTTACTCTTGTATTAAATAAGATAGTATATTGTGAATAT